CCTCAGGGCAGCTCACGACGATCTTTCCAGCGCTTCGCCCCTGTTACTTTTCCCAGCAAGGGCCTCCGCACTCTTTCAAGCGAGCCCCGCAAAATCCAATTGGGGGGCCAACGCATTAAAAACCATTGGCGCGCCCGCCGGAAAAACAAAGAGTGCGCACCGCTGATTCCGTCGATGGCCGAAGGCCATCGTCGGAAAAACTGCCCGCGTGCATTGCGCGATGACATGCGACCAAATAGGACGCACGGCGAGGCATTGCGTTGGAAATAGTAGACGTTGGAAAAACTGTTTGGTTGGCGTGGGTATTTCGCAGTAGGGGCGGGGCCAGCGTTGAAAATACGCAAAAGCTGAAAAAAGTAGATGATGATGGCCATGGTGGTGATGATGATGGTGTCCCGACGATGATGATGTTGATGATGCTGATGTTGCTGATGATGGTGTCCCGATGATGATGATGTGGAGAACCCTGATGATGATGATGATGATGATGATGAGATGATGATATGCTGATTGTGAAGATGATGGTGATGATGATGGTGTCCCGATGATGACGATGGTGATGATGATGTTGTTGATGATGATGATTGTGATGATGATGATGGTGTCCCGGTGATGATGATTTTGATGCTGATGATGATGATGGTGACCCGATGATGATGAAGTTGATGATGAGGATGTGACGAGATGATGATGATGTTGATGATGGTTGCCCGATGATGGTGATGATGCTGATGTTGGTGATGGTGTCCCGATGATGATGATAGTGATAATGATGGTGGTGACGATGATGATGGTGTCCCCATGATGATGATGATGTTGCCGATGATGACGATGGTGCCCCGATGATGATGATGTTGTTCACGATGATGAGATGCTGGTGATGGTAATGGTGTTCCGATGATGATGGTGTCCCGATGATGATGATGTTGATGATGAGGGTGACGATGACGGTGTCCCGATGATGATGATGGTGATGATGATGGCCATGGCGGTGATGATGATGGTGTCCCGATGGTGATGATGTTGATGATGCTGATGCTGCTGCTGAGGATGATGTCCCCATCAAGACGATGTCGATGATCCTGATCATGTTGATGACGAGAAGATGAGATGATGATGAAGCTGATGTTGATGGTGTCCCGATGATGATGAGGTTCATGATGATGTTGTTGATGATGACGGTGATGATGATGATGATGATGGTGCCCCGATGATGAAAATGTTGATTGTGATGATGACGATGATGGTGTCCCGGTGCTGATGATGATGATGATGTTGGTGATGTGGGTGATGATGAGGTAATGATGATGATTTGAAGATGGTGGCCCGCTGATGCTGATGATGATGCTGATGTTGATGATGATGGTGTCCCGATGATGATGATGGTGGTGGTGATGATGGTGACGATGATGATGGTGTCCCGATGATTATGATGCTGATGATGATGTTGCTGATAATGATGGAGTCCCGATGATGATGATGTTGGTGATGGTGTCCATGATGATGATAATATATGATAACGGTGATGGTGTCCCGATGGTAATGATGATGATGGTGTCCAAATGATGTTGTTGTTGATGATGATGGTGATGGAAACGATGATGGTGTCCCGAAGATGACGATGATGATGATGATGTTGATGAGGATAGTGATGAGGTGATGATGGGGATGGTGTCTCAGTGATGATGATGATGCTGATGACGTTGATGACATTGATGTTGATGACGGGGATGAAATTCATTGTGAGATCGATCGTGATATCGATAATGAGATCGATAGTGGGACCGAATGTGAGATAGATGGTGAGATCGATTGTGAGATCGATAGTCAGATCGATTGTGAGATCGTTCGAGTGAAAACGATCGAGTGAGATCGACTGTGAGATCGATCGAGTGAGATCGATCGAGCGAGACCGATAGTGATATCGATAGTGAGACCGATCGAGTGAGACGCTGGTTCCTCCCCCCCCGAACCTCGTTATCACCCGAAGGGTGGTCGTATAGGTAATAGTTGTTTTAATACTGTAGTGACGGCTGTAGAAGTAGTGCTCCAATACTCTAGTGCTGTACTGTCGCATTCTAGTAACACTGTAGTAGCAGCCGCAATCTAGCACTGTAGAAGTAGTCGTAAGGTTGTCATACGGTGGTAATAATGATACTCTCGTTGGACAGGCGATAGCTGACATATCGCGCGCAGGCAGACCCCCCACTTGGGCGAAATGACGGGGGGTCCGATCGAAATTGGCCACCCTGGAACGATGAATAGCAGCAGGAAACGTTCCACCACTAACCCCTCCCCGTTGACGACAGAACTGGCCTCAAAGCACTTACCGGGTCAACCTTTCATAACCGGGGGTGATGAATACTACAACCGCAAGGCCGGCTCAAACTGTCTATGTGATGGTGCGAAAGATGCAGCCCCAATGCTGAGCGAAAACACTACGGGGCACCCCCACCCAGCATTGCATAGAATACTGCTTTGATATTCCTGACTGTCGACCCACTCGAAGGCGATTCTGGGATGTACCAGTATCTGCAAAGCGCAGCGGAGCGCAGTGATCGGAGAACGTTTTGAAAAACATCGAAACATGAAGTGTCAATTACTATGTGAACCCTCCCCCTGCCGATCGTCGCAATCTCTTGACATTGATTTCAATCCAGGCCGCCACGTAAAAGTATGCATTGCTGCTGACCTGTCAGATAATGAGAAAGGTACACGCGCTGACACCGTAATGTCTGAGCATGCTGGCCTTGGTCTCGGCCATGTGTTCGGGACCATTGAGCCTCCCGACGTAGCAAATGCGGCCTGCGGAAGACGCGGGGGCGGGAATCGAGAGCATGATCAATGTACCGCAATGGCTGCGAGCAAAGCTCTTCTTCGATCTATTTCTGACAACAGGCGGCGAGGAGGTTGGGGAGAGAAAGAAGAGGCGGGCCTGTGTTTCTTGAATGCCCCGGTGCATCCCAAGTGATCTCAAACCAGGAAGCGCTTTACCAGAAGGGCAGAACTCCACGCTGCTACCATGTGCTTGAAATGTCGACCCTCGTTAGGAGTGAGAGAGCGCATTTCACGGGCGCTTGCCTTGGGAACATTCGGCGGCGCGTTTCGAAGCGGGGGGTGGGCCCCCCCCCAACACTCGGCGCCGTCGATCAGAACCAGGGGGACTCCCCTCCCCCCTGACCCCCCCCACCCGAACCCCCCCCCACCCCCAGCGCTGGCGGCCGCCGCAGCGCCAACGCAGCGACGATGACCAGAGAGGGCCCAGAAGGGGAGGGGTTCAAACCCCCACCCTCCCGCGCTGGCGCGGGCGCCAGCGCTGGCGGCGGCCAGCAGCGCCGACGGCGGGGATGCAGCGACGATGACCAGAGAAGGCACAGAGGCCGCAGAAGGATCACGCTACTCGCCATGTCGAGCTCTCGCATGCTCCTCAGACGCCCCCGAGACCCTTTTGACGAGACCTCAAGAGGCACCCATTAAAACTCTAACCCTTTGCCAAAACACAGTGGCGGGAAGAGCCGAAGGCCACACCACCACCAACACCACCACCACCGCCACCACAGACCACCATACCACCACCACTACCGCCACCACCACAACCATCACCTGAACCACCACCACAACCACCACAACCCACCATCACCAAAACCACCACCAACGCCCCAAACCACCTCGCCACCACCACCATCAAAAACGCCACCACCACCAGCACCACCACAACCCACCACAACCCACCACAACCACCACCACCACAAACTACCACACCTTTACCACCACCACCACCGCCACAATCACCACCATCACCACAACCCACCACCAACCCACCAACACCACCACCGCCACAAACCACCACACCACCACCACAACCACCACCACCACCATCACCACCCACCACCCACCACCCACCACCCACCACCCACCACCCACCACCCACCACCCACCACCCACCACCCACCACCCACCACCACCACCAGCACCACTACCAGCAGCACACCACAACCAACACCACAGCCCACCACCACCACCACCACCACAAACCACCACGCCACCACCACCACCGCCACCACCACGACCACCACCATCACCACCTCAACCCACCACCACCACCACCAAGCCACCACACAACCACCACCACAGCCACCACCACCACCACAACAGCTCACCACCACACCACCACCACCACACACCACCACCACCGCCACAACCACCACCACTACTACCAGCAGCACAACCCACCACCACCACCACAACCACCACAAACCACCACACCACCACCACCACCGCCACTACCACCACCACCAACACCCCCGCCGCCGCCGCCAGCCGCCGCCAACGCCGGCGCCGGCCCGAGGAGAGGGAGAGAGGAGAAGTAGGGGAGGGGGTTCGGTTCCACCCCCCCCTCCAAGCGACCACAGAACGCGCTCTTTCTCAGGAGTAGGAGCAGATAGGGAGAGCTAGGGAGTGGGAAGTAGGAGGTCGCAGGAGGATGGGATGGAGGAGGAAGATATGGACTTCAAATCCCGGATGATATTGTCATGATAGCCAGCGTGGGCCCCTAACAGTAGGCTACTACACCCTCGATTTGCAACTTCTGTATTGCAAGCTGTGCAATGCGTTCCGTGTGGTGCAGTCTGTGTGAAACAAACTATGCGGTGCAATCTATGTGATGCAATTGATTTTTACCCATGATTTGAGACATCCCATGCTCTTGCAAACATCCCACCCACCCACCCGCAACGTGGATTGCAAAACCTCTAAGACCGTGACTGTAGGTACCAACTGGCACTTGGCAACGACACCGACGCCGTCGACGACGACGACGACGCCAACGACGACACCGACGACGTCTCCGACGACTTCGACGACGACGACGACGACAACGACGATGATGACGACGACACCGACGACGACGACGACGCCGACGACACCGACGACGACGACGTCGACGACGCCGACGACGACAGCGACGTCGACGACGACGACGCCGACGCCGACGACGACGACACCGACGACGTCTCCGACGACTTCGACGACGCCGACGACGACGACGTCGTCGACGACGCCGACGGAAACGACGACGCCGACGACGACGACGACCTCGATGACGACGCCGACGACGACGATGACGTCGACGACGACGACGGAAACGACCACGACGACGACGACGGCGGCGGCGACGACGACGCCGACGTCAACGACGACGAAGACGACGACGCCGACGCCGACGCCGACGACGACGTCGCCAACGACGACGACGACGACGAGGGAGGAGGGAGGACGACGACGGCGACAACGACGACAACGACGAGGGAGGAGGGAGGACGGCGACGACGCGAACGATGAAGGAGGGAGGACGGCGACGCCGACGACGACAACGACGAGAGAGGAGGGAAGACGACGACGACGACGACGACGACGACGACGGCGACGAAATAGGAGGGACGACGACGAGACGCCGACGACGGACGACGACGACGACGACAAGGGAGGAGGAGGAAGGGCGAACGACCACGGCGACAACGACGACGGAAACGACCACGACGTCAAAACGGACGACGACGACGACGACGAGGAAAGACAGAGGACGACGACGTCGACGACGACGACGAGGGAGGAGGGAGGACGGCGACGACGACGACGCAAAAAGGCGCGCGCACGCTTATGTTGAAAACCCGTGTTGCGAAACCTTGTGTTTTTATATGTTTTTTGGACACACGATGTTGGAATCCTTTCGAAACCGAAGGTTTTTGAAGGATTCCGGCATGCGCGCGCGACGACGCGCGCGTCTGCACTTCGTCTCGTTTTTTGCAAACGATTCTAGCGACGGCACGCGCGCAAGGGCGTTCGAAAGATTTCGACATGCGCGCGCGAAGCCTGTTTGGTAGTATTTTTTGAAAATGTTGGAAAACCCATGGTTTCCTTAAGATTTCGCAAGAGCGCGCGCGTAAGCTTTTTTAGAACATCAAGAATCCCTTGTACAAAAATTGGCGAAGTGCACGCGCGCGCGTCGTCGCGCGCGCATGCCGAAATCCTTCAAAAACCTTTGGTTTCGGAAGGATTGTGAAATCCTTCCGAAACCAAACGTTTTTGGAGGATTTCGGCATGCGCGCGCGACGACACGCGCGTGTGCACTTCGCCAATTTTTTTTGCAAGGGGTTCTTGATTATTGATGAACGAATGTGCGCGCATTGTATGTTTTGCAGAGGATGGCGGGGGGGGGCGATACCGGCCTGGCTGGGATAGTATGAGTTCATATTTCGGATGGACGAGTGTGCAGAATCACATGAAAATTGCAATACGAAAAGGTGTAGTGTTAACTCCGGATGGTGGTGGAGTCTATTCTTCTTTTAAAAAGGAGACCCTACGCAGTGCAAGCCGTGCGGTGCAAGTGCAGCCCGTGGGATGCCAACAATGCGACGCACGACGCATGGTGATGGCAATGTTTTCCGAGCTACTTACGTGCTGCACGCTGTGCGGTGAGCTTCGTGAGATGTAAGCTATGTGGTACAATCTACGTGGCGCAGGCTACTCCAAGTTTCTCAATAAGCGTGGGGGGGGGGGCGTCGCCCCCCCCGACACCCCCACGTCGACCCCTGTCGCGCGGGCAACCACCGCGCGCCGAAGGCGCTCCGACCCCCGCCGCGGCGCGACGACGAGGCGAGGTTGACCCCCGTCGGGGGGGCACCCACCCACGCCCATTGAGAAACCCAAGAGTCTATGTGGGGCGCGCTGTTGTGGCGACGTGACATCTGTGTTGTGCAGGCCCCGCGCGTGCCCGCGAGGCTCCGCACGGGGCGGCCAGGGGCGGGCACCCCGGCGAGCCCCCTTGGCAGAGCAACCCAGGCGCACAGGGGCGCCCACGGGCGGCCAGTCAGGCCAGGCACCTCTGGCGGAGCCCCGGCAATCCAGTGGCGGAGGTGCCGCGCACAGGAGCCCCCTAGAGGTGCGAGCGATGTTGTGGGAAACGACAGCAGTTGAAACAGTCATCCTCCGTTGCCCAGAGCAGGCGGCCAGCCGATGACGGGAAAGGCGTGTCATTTCAAGCCCACGGCCCAGCAGAGGCAGACAAGATGCAATTTCTTTTCCTTCCGCCCCTTTTCCATCCGTCATCGGCATTCCAGGAATAACATGTCCCACATCCATTCTGCGCCAGTGACAGAAAACTTAGCTGCCAGGGTACAGGCCCTGTCTCCCCTCAAGTTTCCCATCCATCCAATATTGAATAGCACCTGTGACAAGCAAGCGACCACGCTTTAATCAGAGATGCATGCTCGGTATTGAAGAAGTTCGGCCCGCATCCTGAGCGGAAATTAAGCGATCAATTTGCGGTGATATCACTTCCTGCCTCTACATCTCGAGTCTGGAAGGGATGAGGTAACATGGCAATATGAAGTAGGGTGATGCAGAAATAGTGGTTGTGGGGACGGGCGAAACTGATGGCGTGTCGCGACCATGATCACGGAACATAACGTGTCGAAGCCATGACCATGGCGAACATGAACGTGCCGAAACCATGCACCCGAAACCACTCGCTGATACAGACGCTGCCGCCGCCGACCCACATGCTCCAGCAAATCACACCAGTCGTGCGGTTCGCTTCTTACAACCAGTTCCCCGTGGCATCTCGACCGCTCCCCACCCACCCACCATCCCTCCCCTTCCTCGCCTCTTCCTCCTCACTTTCTCTCCTCTTCCCTGACTCGCCAGGCTCACCCAACCCAGGACACAAATGGGGGTGGCCCCAAGCTGGGGAGCGAGTCGATCAATCCCAAACGCTGCAGCCTGTGACCCCCGCCCTTCTCTCTTTGGCAAGCCGCAGGGTGCTCCGCCCGCGGCGTCAAGGGCAGCACGGAGCTGGCTCAGGCGTTGTGTGAACGATGGGCCCTCCCAGCCTCGAGTAGAGTCGACACAGCGCGTAATCTCGGCACGGATGCGTCGCTAGGTGGCGTTCGTCGCGTGGGTGTGACCCGAGCGCAGTGGACCAACGCAGGCAGGGCCGCGGGGCGTCTGGCTGGTCTGCCGGAGGCTGGGGCAGATGTTACTTGGATTCAGAAGACTGGACCGACAACAGCGTTGGTTGTGGGAAATTTTGTGTCGTGGGAATGCCACCGTCTGAACTGTATTGGCTGCGAGTTGCCACGTGTGGGAGCCTCGGTGGTTTCCCTCGTGGTGCCACGGTGGGCCTCAGACTGTGCACGTTCAACAAAGGCTTCCGCGTGGACCCATGGGTGTTTTTGGTCTATCCGGGAACGCGTGTCATAACCCCGTCGTGCTTTGCGCAATCGGAAAAATGAAACTAGTGGGATTTGTGCGACCTGGGGGGCCTGGGGCCTGGGACATCTGCGGCACCTGTGGGATCTGTGGAACCTGTGGGACCTCTGGGGCTTGTGGGAGCTGTGGGACCTGGGAGAACCGCGAGGCTTGTGGGACCCGTGTGGAACCTGTGAGACACGCGACACCTCTGGAACCTGTGGGACCTGCGAAACCTGTCGGACGTGCGGGGCTTGTGGGACCTGCGGCACCTGTGGGACCTGTGGGACCTTTGGGGCCTGCGAGACCTGTTGGACCTGTGTGACCCACGAGACCTATGGGGTCCAGAAAAGTGGCACCCGTTGGGGCGGGACCGCCACTGCGAACGATGGGAGCACAGCGCCGATCCGAAAATGAGGCCCGCGCTACACCGAGAACACCATGCTCGACAAGCTGTGAACAATTGAAACGTACAAGCATTTCTTGAATCAAGAAAGCAGTTCGCGGAAATTCTGTAGAACAACAAACGCGGAGGGCGAGCGAATACTCTCAGGACGTATTCGTGGGAGGAGAGTACGATTCATTTTGTGTGATTTCTGTGGAGGAGGAGGTCCACCGCTCCCGGGGGATGGGGGAGGAGGAGGAGGAGGAGGAGGAGGAGGAGGAGGAGGAGGAGGAGGAGGAGGAGGAGGAGACCTGCACGCAAGGAGGATCCTCCGCTCCTGCCTACCCACTCCTCGGCCGCGCCTCGACGCCCTTGAAGGCGTCGGGCGGCGGGCGGGGCCGCGGTGGGTGCGGGGGCGCACCAGCCATCAGCTGGTCGGCCTGGACAGTGCCGACGGCGATGCACACGTTGTGAGCAGTTAGTTCTTTCATTCGAGGAATGAGCGAGAGGAGCAGGAGGAGGAGGAGGAGGAGGAGGAGGAGGAGGAGGAGGAGGAGGAGGAGGGGGGACAACAGCGGCGAAAGCAGCGGCCCGCGCCTCAAGGTCGCCGCATTGAGGATGATCAGAAGTCGCGGTATCCATCTCATGAGAGACTATCTGGGACCCCCTCCGCGCAGACGACGAAGTACCAGCACTCCCGAAAGACCAAATCTGAGACCCTCTCTGCACTGAAGACGAAGTACCAGCATTCCCAAAAGACAAGACCTGAGACTCCCCCTGCGCTGAAGACCCCGTCGAAATAGAAGACGCGAAACCACCGCCGGAAATCAACGCCGAGACCCCCGTCCGAAACGGCACCGTATCGACGCCGGAAATCAACGCAACGGGGATATAGAACGAACCATTTCCAAGGCATGTACTCCTCGATGCAGGCATTGTCATCTGTGAGCACGGGACTATGAATCTCGAAATTGACGGGGGTGTAGACGCCGAACGGGTAACCCTCGCGCGCCCTGGGGACGTGGATAGCACTTGCCCAAAGGTCGATCTGCGCACCACGCGTGAGCGCACAGGATGAGATACAGACGAACTCTGCATGGGCTGGAGATCCCCAGACACAAGGGAAAGCACCATGCCAGTATCCCGCGTCAGAACCTGTGTAGCAGTCTGCGACGCCGAGATGTCGTCCCAATCAGAAAGACGACAGACTCGTTCGGGAGTAGCGATCAACGTTGCAGGAGTGGAAGGGCATAGATCTATGAAGACAACACTATCAGAGTTTCCGCCTCGTCTGACACGCACTCTGATGGGGCCGGGCGAGGGGTGATACAGGGGCTATCAGGATGTCCAGGTCGCTGACGCTCGCACGTAACAGCACGGGCAGGTGCGGCTTCCATAATATCCGCTTGAGCCTCTGGTAGAACAGCATGGGCACAACAGACTTCACTGCCAGCCTCCTCCCCCGAGCTTGAGCCGGAATCAGACGCGGAAGTGGATGAGCTCAAAAAAAGAAGAAGACGGTCTCCCATGGTGCGCAAAGTCAGTCGGGGCCAGCCTGGCCGCAAGCTCAGCCGACTGGTCCTTCGGAGCCGCCAGCCGCATCTCACGGACTCATGCAAGTGCGCAGCTGTAGACCTGATCAACAAACAAGTGGCACGCGTGCCCTGGCTCTTGCACAAAGGTGTCCGAGGCTCAGGGGGGCTGCCCTGGGAAGCCTGGGCGGGGGGGGGGCAGAGGGGGGGGGCAGGGGGACGAACGACACGACACGACACGAAAATAAAGGTGTCCGAGGCCCAGGGGGGCTGCCCTGGGGAGCCTGGACGGGGGGGGCAGGGGGGGGGGCAGGGGGACGAACGACACGACACGACACGAAAATAAAGATGTCCGAGCTCTAGAGCACAGCTGTGCAAGAGAATAAAAGGTTCCGTGGCCCAGGGTCGCTGCCCTGGGAAGCCTGGACGGGCTGCTCTGGGAAGGCTGGACTGGATGGGAGGCAGGGGGGGGTGCGGGCCAGGGCCAGGGGGACGACCAGGGCCAGGGGGACGAACGACACGAACGACGAACGACACGAAAATAAAGGGTTCCGTGGCCTAGGGGGGCTGCCCTGGGAAGCCTGGACGGGCTGCCCTGGGATGCCTGGACGCGGGGCAGGGGGGGGTGAGGGCCAGGGCCAGGGGGCGACCAGGGCCAGGGGGACGAACGACACGAACGACGAACGACACGAAAATAAAGGGTTCCGTGGCCCAGGGGGGCTGCCCTGGGAAGCCTGGACGGGCTGCCCTGGGGGACGAACGACACGAACGACGAACGACACGAAAATAAAAGGTTCCGTTGCCCAGGGGGGCTGCCCTGGGAAGCCTGGACGGGCTGCTCTGGGAAGGCTGGACTGGATGGGAGGCAGGGGGGGGTGAGGGCCAGGGCCAGGGGGACGACCAGGGCCAGGGGGGCGAACGACACGAACGACGAACGACACGAAAATAAAGGGTTCCGTGGCCCAGGGGGGCTGCCCTGGGAAGCCTGGACGGACTGCCCTGGGATGCCTGGACGGGGGGCAGGGGGGGGTGAGGGCCAGGGCCAGGGGACGACCAGGGCCAGGGGGACGAACGACACGAACGACGAACGACACGAAAATAAAGGGTTCCGTGGCCCAGGGGGGCTGCTCTGGGAAGCCTGGACGGGCTGCCCTGGGATGCCTGGACGGGGGGCAGGGGGGGGTGAGGGCCAGGGCCAGGGGGACGAGCAGGACACGAAAGTGTTCCGTGGCCCAGGGAGGGGGGTGAGGGCCAGAGCCAGGGGACGACCAGGACACGAAAATAAAGATGTCCGAGCTCTAGAGCACAGCTGTGCAAGAGAATTAAGGCCAGTGAGCAACCGGCCTAGCTTCATTGCGCGTAGCATACATACAACACCGCAAGGTAGGCGTAGGACTCGACTCCAGGCGGGCAGAGACCCAATCGCTCAAGAACTGGACGTGGGAATGGTCGTGCCAGCGCCCTGCGGATGGCGACGTGTAGGGGGCGGCAGTAAAGATAGTGTCGGAGAGCATCTGGAGCTGCGGCGCAGCCGAAAGCGCACCCGAGCTGGCCAGCGGGGTGGATGATGCGTCTAGGCGTCAGCCACGCATCCAACCAGGTCCTCACAGTCGCCCAAGCCCAAGAGCATAGGCGCCTTGCCATCGATGCCCGCACGCCGCCCCAGTCCACCGTAGCCAGAACCTCCCTGTGTCGAGGGAGAAGCTTGCACAAACGAGTCGCGAACAGCACCGCGAGGGGGGCATCCACCAGCGATGCCGCACGAAGCGCACGATGTGCAGCGCGCTGTGGTCGTGGGCGCTGACCGTCAGGTGGTGAGAGCGCCTCCAGCGCAGGTGGCAACGCAACCCGCAAGTGTCGGGCGAGGACGGCCGTGGGAGCCTGCGATAAAGTGGCAGCCTCCAGCGTCTTCACGAAGGCAGGCGCCCGCCAGAAGTTTGGGTAAGGAGCACCACTGCCGACCATGTCAAGCGAGTGCCAAGTAGGGTGTAGCGCAGCATGCTGTCGCAGGGATGCCAATCTGTCCGTATATTGCGGGAGCGTGAAGATGGCCGGACGCACCAGCGACGCCGTGTTCAGATGGCCCCACCTCAAGATCTTCGGACAGCTCCAGCACTCCAGTTGCGACCAACTGTCAAGCTTGAACGCGCCCAGCGGAACGCGGAAGACCTGTGCCAAGACGGGGAGCTCGAGCCGAAGCAGCGACGACGGCAACCAGCAGAACTGAGAGACATATGATAGCGTGATGACGGCCCGCTGGTTATATAAGATGGCCGAAATGCTAGCTGGTGTAACTCCCTGTGCAATGGCCAAGGCTCGGAGACGTAGCTTCGCAA